AAAACTAAGGGAGAAACCTAAGAGAAACTATAATGGAGTAAACTCAGTTTGAGGTGGAGTTTCCTACTATGGATGTTAGCAGTAGTGAGGGAATGGTTACAGAGATCTCTGATTATCATTTGACTCATGATAAGGTAAGCAGGATTATTGTAGCATCTCAAAGGGACGATTATGCTAGCCTTGGATATTATGTTTTTAATGTAGCTGAAGGACTGCAAAATAAAAGAAGAAAAACCTTCAGAGAGGCATTTGAAAACAGGTGGAGTCAAGGGTGGTTGAAAAATCATATTTTTAGGTTTGTTAAATTACCTAGGCAGAAAAAGGTAATTGGGAACAAGTGGATTCAAGTTGCGAGATCAAGATTCAAGGGTTGCTTGAATTTAATCAAAGTTATTGATTAAAGTTTCAACTTGGTAGAGAGCAGCAATGTTGTTGATTAGTATCAACACGCTTTAAAGTAAAGATGGAGATTGTTGTAAATGTGCCTTAAAACCTTTGTTGATGAAGAGAAAGAAAACATATTTTGGAGATTGCATTTACCGCAAAAACTGGCCGAAAAGTCGAGAAAAAAATTGGTTGATGAATAGTGTCATTTGTACGATGAATAGTGTTATTCATACAGATGGATAATGACGCCCGTACGGTGAATAGTATTTTCAATCTTTTTGATTCGGTTCATGGATCCATGTGATTTCGGGCTTTGTTTGTTAGGTATTTGCTATTATAAATATGTATCTCTTATATGCTTGGTGTATGACAATCTTAGAGGTTTCACCAACAAGGGAGACCAAGAGTTTAAAGGTATAACATAGGGTTTTAGCTACGCATAAAGAAAACCTTGGATTACACCTTGGATTTGAGTGATTCATATATTGAGAGTTGGAGAGGTAGAAAAACACCTGAGTAGAAAATATGGTTGTTCTTGGCCGCCTTCAGGGTTGTTCTTGGGAATTTGAAGGCGAAGGTTATTTTCTTGTAACTCATCTGTAATTTCTTGTAACAACTTTCTGAGTATAGTAAATTGGAGAGTTGCTCTCTCCCCCAGAATAGATCGTTTGATTGAACTGGGTAAACAAACCTTTAGTTTTTTCTTTCCTTATTTTGTTATATTATCTGTGTACATATTATTATTGCTGAAGACCATTTATTTTGGTTGCTGTTGTTCTTTACCTCACAAATTGATATTGAATTTTGTTGTAATTCACACAAGATTCACACCAATAACCTTTTGATGCAAAAACTATATTTTATATTAACGGGCCCAAACAATGATAAGCTAAATGAGTTTTCCTAAGTACTTTAGGGCAAACGCGATTACCGAATGCCACATTTAAACTGAGTGGTTATTTGACTCATATTAGAGAAGACACCCTATCATCTACTTAAAGGTAGAAAATCTAATATCTCCTACTTTTGCATTTTCAGATGTAAATGCTTTATTTAGATAACAGTAAGGAAAATTTGGTAAATTTGATGCAAAGTAGGTTTAAAGAATATTTTTAGGGAACTCATCATCGAGTTAGGCGTATAGAGTTTTCAACAATTAAATGCATGTTGTTGAAGAGTTGGTTCATGTTGCTTTTGATGAGATCAAACTCCAAAAAGTTGGGAAAATGTAGCCTCTTTAGTTTTGATGTTTAAGGTGTAATAATATAAGAATTAGTTAAAGAAGACACTCCCAAAGAGGATCCTCCTAAAGACGATGACATTAAAAATGATAAAGAGTATAGAGAACATGAGGAAGAAAAATAAAATACCTCAACTCAGCCACCTCAAGAATGGATTATTGCAAAGGATCACCTATTAGATCACATACTTGGAGACATCACAAAGTATTCTGCTTTAATTTTCAAAATTGAACCTAAGACAATATCTGATGCTTTACTTGTTGAAGGATGTCTCATTGCAATGCAAGAAGAGCTCATTCAATTCAAATGTAACGATATTTGGGACCTTGTTCCACTTCTTAAATATAAAATTGTCATTGACACAAGATGGGTGTTTAGGAACAAGTTTGATGAAAATGAGATAATTACTAGAAATAAAGTTAGGCTAGTGAAAAAAGGTTATAATTAGGCTAAATGGATTCACTTTGAAGAGACTTATACTCATGTAGCCCGTTTCGAGGTGATTCGACTCCTTTTGATATTTGTCTACTTCCTGGATTTTATGTTGTATTAGATGGATGTAAAATATGTCTTCCTTAATGGATTTATAAATAAAGAAGTTTACGTCTCTCAACCTCCTGATTTTGAGGACCATGAAAACTGTGGTTTTATTTTTAAATTAAAGCGAGTACTCTATGATCTCAAACAAGCTCCTAAAGTTTTGTATGAAATCATGAGTGAATTTATTTTATTAAGAAATGATTTAATTATGGTAAGGTAGCTACTACTTTGTTTATCTAACTTAAAGAAAAACATGTCTTATTAATTTAAATTTATGTTTATGATATCATATTTGGATTCATTGACTGATATCTTTGCAAAGAATTTGATAGTATAATGCAACGGAAGTTCAAAATGTCATTGATGGGAGAGCTAAATTATGTTTTAGGATTTTAGATCAAGCAAACAGAGGCTTGCACCTTCACCATTCATACTAAGTATTTCTTGGAGCTCCTAAATAAATATGATAAGAAAAATTCAAAAAAACATATCTACTCCCATGGCTTCAAATTTGTTGATAGATAAATATGAACAATGCGTTGAGATTGACATTACCATATATAGAAGTATTATAGGATCTTTATTCAATTTAACCATGAGTATGCTCGATATTATGTTTAGCGTGTGCATGTGCGCTCGATTCCGAGTGTCACATAGGAAATCCCACTTAAAGATCGTTAAAAGAATTTTGAGGTATCTTAACAAAACATCGCATCATAGTCTATGGTTTTTCATGGGAAGCGAGTATACCTTAGTAGGATTCTCCGATTCTGATTTTGATGATTGCAAATCGGATATAAACAGTACTGGTGATGCTTTTCATTTGTTTTGAAACTGTTTATTTTGTTGTCACAATAATAAGCAGCATAATGTTGCTCTTTCTACTAATGAGGCTGAATATATAGTCGCCAGTAATTGTTGTGCACTAGTCTTATGGTTAAAGCAATAACTATTGGATTACAAATTAAAACTCGGCTATGTTCCAATCAAATGCAATAACACTAGCGCTATAAGTCTTACTAAGAATCTCGTGCTACATTCATGCACTAAACATATAGAGATCTGACACCATTTCTTGAGAGATTATATAGAAAAGGGTGACGTTATTTTTGAGTATGTGTACACTAAAAATTAGTTAGCTGATATTTTTACAAAACCGTTATCCACAACCATTTCACAAGATTTGTAGAGAATTAGGAATCTTGAACTCTTCTTGTTATAAATAGATTTAAATCTCTATTTTATTTCTTCTTGTTATATATTATTTGTTGTAAACTAACATTTCCTGTGTAGCAAGTTACATTTAAATCAACTAGATTGATATGATCCCTACAACTCTTATCTTTAATTGTATTATTTTTATAATATGTTCTATACGTCTATTTGTTTAATGTTTATATGTTGCTTTTCATTCATAATTCATTAGCTCTCGAATGATTGTTCGTTGTGAATTTAAAACTTTTTGAAGTACATCATTTTAATTATATATATTTTGAACAACTTTTTGAATTGCTCATGCATTATTTATCTTTCATATGTATATATTTTGATCACATAAATTTATTGTTAATCAGTTTTATGTTGTATTGCGCATATTTGTTGCATTTGACATGTATTATGTCTTGTATATGAGTGATGTATTATTCTCTTTAATGTAGATGTTAACTATATATAATTTTGTTTTCTCTGAAATTTTTTTTTGTTGCTGGTTATTTTAAGTTTAGGCTCATTATATTGTTGGACATTTCTAAAACATGTTGATTATAAAGCATGATAATGTGGATTTATTAGTTGGAAATATGTACTTTCCAAAGTTGTGATAATGTTGATAAAACTAGAGAGAAATGGTCATAAATCTTTGAACAGTTTTATTTAGTATCCCAGTTCTTGAGATTAATCAATTGAAATTTTGCAGAAATTTGTGACTGAATCAAAATTATAGTCCACTCTGCAATAGGGGAAACAGTCTTTTAACCTCTTGCAGCTTCATAGGTCATGTGGTGATGAAAATCTCAAATATGTTGGTGACAGCAGAAGATGACAAAGTGATGCAGTAATGCTCTAAAAAGTCTCAGGGTTGCATTAGCATTGCGCTTTGTGCTCCTAATACACTAGATTTATAAGGTAATCTTTGTCACTTTGTGTTTGTAAGGTACTACAAAGCACTCATTGTTAATAACTTCTAGTATCTTCTTCCTTTTGCTCATCGAAAGATTTACCTTTTGGCCTAACATACTTTAGTTACTCATCGAAAGAGTTTTATTTACATTGTATACTCTTCTCACTCACTTCACTTTGGAGTAGAGTGGATTAGATTTTTTTAGTCAAACTATCCGCTATCTGCAAACCAGACAGGTTGGTTTGGTTAAACTTTGAACTTTTAATGGGTTGAGTTTAAAAACTCAAATAGAAAACGGACTCTAATCCTTTCGGGTGGGGCCGACCCGTCCCTTTTGCCAGCTCTAATGTTCAACGTACCATCTCATATATGACTTGTCAATGAAAGTGGAACTAATAGTACTTAGTTTTGTGACACATTTCTTGGCATGTGTAGAGATAGTTGTTTTCCATGCCTACGTGTGGAGTGTTCTAGATTTTATTGTCTTTAACTCATACATATGACAAGATTGTGAAGTTGATTACGTATTCGTTTAAATTTTTGCCATTATCATATACACACTCGCATGATTGATTTGAACACGTAAAAGGGGAGAGTTCCATTGTGATGCTCCAACTTAGTATACAATTTTTTTTTAAGACATATTGTTTGAAACAATCTTTTCAATAAGAGAAACACAAGAAACCACCTTCAATTCTAACAACAGAACAAACATGGGAGAGATAGACCCATCTTTTATTCAAGACCATCAACAAAGACCAAAACTCTCCATCATCGAAGCCAAAGGAATTCCCGAAATTGACCTCTCCCCATTATTCCACCACCAACTTCCAAATCCATCTGCTATTGAAAGCTTAGTGAAAGAGATTGGAAGTGCATGCAAGGAGTGGGGATTCTTTCAAGTCACAAACCATGGTGTCCCTTTGAGTCTTAGGCAGAAACTCGACGAAGCTTCTAGATTGTTCTTTGCTCAAAGTTTGGAGGAGAAGAAGAAGGTTGCAAGAGACGCAATCACTCCAACTGGTTATCATGACACAGAACACACTAAAAACGTTAGAGACTGGAAAGAAGTGTTCGATTTTCTTGCCAAAGATCCTACTTTGGTTTCTCTAAATTCCGATGAAAACGATGATCGAGTTATTCAATGGACTAATCCATCTCCTCAATACCCTCCACACTTCAGGTACATTTTTAATCTTCAACTCATACTAATTATGAACTGTAACTGAATTCTGATTAAAATTGATATCAACATGCATGAGAAGAGATATAATTAAAGAGTACATTGAAGAACTGGAAAACTTAGCATATAAGTTGCTGGAACTTATAGCTTTGAGCTTAGGAGTTGATGCAAAGAGGTTTGAAGGATTCTTCAAAGATCAAACTAGCGTGTTTAGGCTCAATCACTATCCTCCGTGTCCTTACCCTCACCTAGCTCTTGGCCTTGGAAGACACAAGGATGCTGGAGCCATAACCATTCTTTCCCAAGATGAAGTTCAAGGTCTTGAAGTGTTGCGTAAATTCGATCAAGAATGGGTTCTTGTGAAACCGAATCCGAATGCTTACATTATTAACATTGGTGATCTCATTCAGGTATTATTTTATCAATTGAAATCGTGAGTTCGAACATGCGTCAATGAAGGATATAATTGAAAATGTCTTGTTTTTTCAGGTTTGGAGCAATGATTTGTACGAGAGTGTGGAACATAGAGTTACCGTAAACTCTAAGAAAGAGAGATTTTCAAATCTCTTGGGTTTATTTCCATCACACTACACTGAAGTGAAGCCATTGGAGGAACTGATAAATGAGGAAAACCCTTCAAAATATAGAGCTTTCAAGTGGGGCAAGTTTCTTGTTAAGAGAAAAAGTGGCAATTTCAAGAAAAAAAATGAAGAGAACATCCAAATTTATGACTATAGGATTACTTAAAAATGGTATAATATGTTGTGCATGCAGAAGATTCATATATCCAATTAGTGAGTGTTTAAGGTTTATCATGCCTAGATTATCTTTGATCCATCTTCTCCATCGTTTCCATTTTACTACTTCAGAAATTTCAGACATTTTTCTCATTAAAATCTTGTTTTTGGCATTACTGAAATTACTTTGGTGTATATTAACGCTAATGAGAAAAGCTTCGGAATAGAAATACATTTGGACCTTAGGAAATGGAAATGGGTGGTGTCTGCATATACATGCTACATACAAAAACTCCATGACTCATACTACCCATTACATTTCATGTAGTTATAACTATAAAAATGGATAAACAACTAAATATTTCAATTTGATTAAAAACACATTATGAGACATTTAAACTTAAATCTTTATTTTTTTTTTATCAAACTTATAAATTAAGCAAAGATTAATCAAATATCTCACAGTTATGATTTTCTTTTTGCTTCAAACAATTTGGTCAAAAAAGAAATTTTAGCCTCATGCTGAGTCGAGTCTCCATTCCACGTAAAGTGCACACTCAGTGTGACGCCTTATGGGGCAGGTGCCCAACGAAAGACATATAATGTCTAATTTGGAGGTCCTCGCAAATATATCATTACACAGTCTCTCAAGCATGAGGGTTTGTACAAGGCAAAATGTTTTAAATTTCTTCTTCCCATTGGTTGAACTTTGTGGTTCGAGGAAAGTCCCTTGGTTGGGGGCGGGACCCTCAACTGAAGGCGGCTTCTTTAATTGGAGGTGAGTCCCTTAGTTTGGGGCGAGTCCCTCAGTTGAAGGCGTCTTCTTTAATTGGAGGTAAATTCCTTAATTAGGGGGAGAGGGGGCTCTTGTGTAGTGGTGGAGGATGATGGCACCCGTCTCTTCCCATTAGTCTGGACAGACAAACCTGTGTCAATCGCAAGATACAATGATAAATACCTTACTGCTAGGGAGGAAAGGATAATTCACTACTTGGAGAAGTTTGAGGCTATGGATTCTCGCACAATGTTTAAGTTATGGTTGGAGGGCAGTGACTCCCTGGATGAATACCTAAGTAAAATGTTATTACCTTGATCTTTTTTATAGGCATCCTTAAGTAGTGTCTGGCCCTTATGCATTCTCTTGCAGGTCAGATGATAAAGATTACCTTAGAGAAACGGAGGAAGAGGTGGGACAACATCCAAGCCACGCGTGGAGAAATTGATATCCCTCAGAGTCATCCTGAGAGCTTCATTATTAAAGGCGGGAAAAGGCAAGTCGAGGGAAAGCTTCTTAACTCGCCCAATGTTAAGGCACGTAAATTGGAAGAGGGCTCTTCCCGAATTGTTGGGGGAGGAGTTGTTCTGCCCACTTCAGGGGAGGCGAGTGGTTAGAGGCCCTCTAATGGCAAGGCTCCTCTACCCTAGCCCACTTTATGGAGTGATGTTGGTTTTGATACCATTTGTTTACTAGATCTCATTTTCCATTCCTTGAGAAGTTGTCTAGTGACCATAAGAATATTCAATCTAAGTCGCTCATTTTGCTTATTAACATGAAAACCTTTTTCTAAGGGTGTTAATGCTAGAAAGCATACACCAGAAGAGGCGAGACTAGACCAAGAAGGGATTGAGGGTGAAACTCAAGAAGTATAAGGGTAGTTACTCATAAAGCCAGAAGCTACTAGAGGCCTTCAAAAGGATAAGGATTCCTAAGAGAGAAAGTTGGTCGTTGTGGCAACCAAGGAAATAGGAATCACCACCAAAGAGGAGTCTCTGAGAACAATTTTAGAGAAAGCCTTTCATTCTAAAAGAGAACTAGAGGACAAGCTGTTAGAGCTCATGGATGACTTAGTGGTAATTTCTGGTACTTATTTTGAGCATTCGATGGTGTTGCACCCCAAAATTTGACCAACATTTATTCACCCATCAAGTGTTTGAAGTTTGATACCTTCATCAGAAAGTTCAAGAGATCCTCAGAGGAATTGGTTGAAACCAGAGTTGTGTGTTGCATAGCTTGAGAGTTGTGGGAGCTCCTCAGATGATTCTGAGACTTTGAGAATGAACTTGAAGCTTTGAGAAATTTTATGTGATGTCTTGAAAGCCATCATGAGGCCCAGAGAGGTCATTGTGCAAGAATTCAGAAGATTCAACCATGAATGGTATAATTAGGGTTTTGACTAGGTCAATCCTAGATCAGCTGAAGATTTGGAGAAGGTTGAGACCTAATCCAAGAGCCATGAGATCATGGAGTGATGTATGGAGATGTTACAAAGATGATTCCTAGTCCAACTCATCATGATTGAGGAGTTTGAGAAGTTTTGAGTTAGGGTTTCTGAGGATTGCCAGTGAAAAAACCCTAGTTTGATCCCTATCTTCCAGGCAGTTTTAGCTCAAGATGTGATTGATATCTCATCTTCTCCACAACATGAATGTTGTAGAGCTTGTTCTTATCTTTAATTTGAGTGGTAGAAGTCCTTGATAGGAGTTGCAGAGCTCAAGTTATGGTTTTGACAAATTACAGGTCAGCTGAGGTGTGTGAATCTGGGTCCTTGAAAGTCACCCAACTTGCAGACAACTTTTGCCCTAGTAGGATGATTCCTATGATCTCTTGGTCAACATGAATGTTTAAGATCATCTTCTTAGCTTTCTAGAGAGTACTATAAGTCCTTGATAGGATTTGTAGAACTCAACTTATGGTTTGAACAAGACAGGGGTATTTTAGTCATTTGGAAGTTATAGGTCATTTTAAGCAAAGGCCATATCTCCTATTTCCAAGCCTCAAATGGAAAAACTCAAAACATCAAAGTTGTTCAAAATGGGATTTTAAGCCTATAAAAGTGGTCATGAGTTATTGAAAAAGCTTGTAGCAAGGATTTTCATGATTGGGTAAAAATGACCTAAAAAGGGCTTATAAGTTAAAAAGTTGAAATGGAATTTTGGTTTAGGAGATGTACAAATCCAAAATGGGTCATCCAATATGTCATTTTGACTCCAAACATTATTTTAAAAACAATGGTTCAAGTAGAATTTTGATTTGAGGGCTCAAAATGGAGGTTGCTTTGTAATTTTCATTCTTGCATAATAAGGCAACTTGAGAAACTTCACATAAAGCAAAACCAAGGCATGTTTTTCACTCATTCCTTTTCAATATCTCACAAGGGGAGATTTTAAAGCCTTAAGGCATGAGATAAGGGATATACAATGTATCATTTCATGAGAAATTCCATAACATTCTAGCACTTTCCATGAGTTTTTAGACTCTTCTTTTGATTGTTATAAAAAGGATGAATCACCATGAGAGCAAGGTTGGTGAAAGTTGCTGAGTTCATTGGAGAGAGTGAGAGAGAAAGTGACATTCCAAGATTCCTTCAAAATCAAGCAAGCTTCAATTTCCTCTTCTACAAGCCTCATCTATCCCAATTCTTGCAAACAGAAAGGTATCCACCATTGGAGGAGCATTTGGAGAAGATTTCAAGCCTTGAATCAAGCTCTAGCACCACTCACCATTGATCTTTAGCAGGTTGGTAACTTGATCCATAAGTCCTTATTTAGGTGCATTCTGTTAGAATTTTAGGTGGAAAGATAGCATGCTAGGTTAGAGGAAGATTTTCTGAGGATTTGAGAGGGATCCATGGAGTTTCGTGGCAGGGTACCAATTCTTGCAAGATTAATAATAGGCTGTTCATGGAGTTTTAATGGACATGGTATATCATAGTTTGGTCAGGGTAACATGTAGAACAAGTTTAGATCATTAGATTGAAGTTCCACTAAGGTTGATAGCAGAGGAAAAGGTTGGAACTCTAATGTTGGAGCTTTCTGTTTGAACGATTTAAGGGGTTTCATGGGAAACTACTGGTATAGTCGTGTTCATGGTGATCATTAGCACGAGTTTGCTCTTGGAGGTTTTGAATTTAATCGCGCATGGAAGGAGAACGAAGGAGTTGAAACTCTGGCATGGAGTTAGGGTTTCTGAAAACCCTAGAGTGTGTTTGGAGAAGATGAGTTCTCTTCCGTTGGATCGTCTTGGCTTATTTGACTCATTAGTCTGATCGCACGGTCCCAACTGAATCTCAGAAGCGGAGGGAAAGTCCAAAACCAAAACGCTGCCGTTTCATTTAAGTGGAGATTCTGGGCTGAATGCAGAACGTTGATACTTGCACCCTACTCAGAGGCCCAACCCAGATTTTAACTATAAAATGTTGCTATTTTCACCGTATCCTTTCCATTTTCTTAATGTTTTTTTCTTTTAATTTTCTGAAGCACGTGGGCCTGATATTCGCACCCCCAGGTCTTCAGCCCATCATGATATTGAACTGGGCGTGTTTACTTTCCTCACCCCCTCCCCATTTTATGTTATTTCTTTTATTTTTATTTCTTTTATATTTTCTTGCATGCTAAAAAATCCATATAAAATTGAAAAATGATTATTTTTTTAATGCTTGTTTTTTTCACATATTCCTAATCATGTCTAGAAAAATGTAAATAAATAAAATTCTCATTTTATTTTCTTTTAGTATTTTTGGCATATTATTCATCTAAATAGCTTTTTAATTGATTTTAGTTGATACTTAATTTTGTATAATTTCTTTTAGGGTCTTCCCTTAGGATTTTTGAGCCATTCTTTTTGACATAGTTAGATGTTGAACCATAGATAATATAGGATTTAATTCACAATTTGTAGATTAAAATTTGATTAGTTTGTTAAGCATGGACTTAGTGTAACAAAATTAGGGTTTTAGGTTGTATAAGTAGACTTAACAATTTTGTTTTGGGTCTTATAGGTCAAATTAGTGTATGGGGAACATATGGGTTAAGGGTAAGTATGTATAGAATCCCCTAGAATTTTGCTAGAATATTGTATGGTATTTTAGTATTTTTAATTGATTTTTGAATGTATGGTTAGTATGTGTGTTGCTTAAAGGCATAGTTTGTATTGTTGTGCTTGTTTTTCTTCTCCTTTGAGTGTGTGAGCCTTGAGATTGAGTTTAAGACCTTGTGGATCATCATTGAAGA